CAGAGCTACTGTCCCCCAGCACCACCTTCTGGACTCGATCAGCCAGGTAGGAACGGAACCACTGTAAAACAGTGCCTCCAATTCCCATTCCAGCCAGTCTGTCCAGAAGGACACCATGATCGATGGTGTCGAAAGCCGCTGAGAGGTCCAGGAGAATGAACAGGGATGCATTACCCCTGTCTTTCTCCCGGCAAAGGTCGTCAAACAGGGCGACCAAGGCAGTTTCCGTCCCATAACCCAGCCTGAAACCCGACTGAAATGGATCTAGATAATCCGTTTCATCCAGGAGAGCCTGGAGCTGCTCAGCCACCACACGTTCCAACACCTTGCCCAGAAAAGGGAGGTTCGCTACTTCAATTAAAATGTTATTGGAGGCTGTTAGTTTAAGACTGCTTAGATATTTTAATTGATCTTTTCTTTACAGCTGTCATACAAAACATAACTCAGTCAATTACTTCTTATTTCTAGTTACGTATGAATGTTTTAGCATTAAACGGAATGTGTCATCAACACGAGAAATGCAGAATGAGATACTCCAGTTATGTGTGATCATCTTTCCCCTTTTCTTTACCTCTAGGCCCCCCTGACATATGATGCTATCATGCAGTTGGAATATCTTGACATGGTGATGAGTGAATCACAAAGACTTTACCCCTTAGGAGGTCGGATTGAAAGGGTCAGCAAGAAAGATGTTGAGATCAATGGGGTGACCATTCCAAAAGATATGGTGGTGATGATCTCACCTTATGTTCTCCATCGGGATCCAGACGTCTGGCCAGAACCAGAGGAGTTCAGACCAGAAAGGTGGGTGTGCGTGTCCTTGGTGCGCAACAATAGAAACACAATAGTTATTGGATCAAGAAAACAGAAGGCTGAATGATCTACCCGGCAGATGCCCATCATGGCGTAGTTTCTTACTTTGATGACCTGGCGCTGGCTGACAAAGCAGGGCACCTGAATTGGAAAGAGAATATAGGGATGATGCACTGAGCCACATGGTGGTTTGGTCACATATACCAGTCATCACTTAGGTTCTTATAGGCAACAGTTGGGAAAATGAATGAGGAAAACCTCAAGGACCCATTAGGGTGGAAGGAAAAGTAATAACTCCATAGATATGCTCCCACCTGTTGAGCAAAGGAGTTGGATGATTGGCCCTCTCGAAAGTGGGCTTTGATGATGGACTGACCATGTTTTTGTGGGCACTGACTGGCAGCAGCAGTTCTACAAAATCTTGCAGGGAGTGTGTAGGGATCTGGGAACACGGTGCCTTTTCCATACTAAGAAGGAATGGAATACCTTCAGAGCTACGGCCTTATCACTGAGTTACAGAGCCGGTAACTGACCCGGTATCATTTTTTGTCTTTGAAAGATCACACACTGAGAGACAGCAATGGTTCTGTTGTCTACCTGCTTCCATTTACCTGTCCACCAACTCCTGTTTTTCCCCATGTCTTTGCCAGGTTCAGCAAAGAGAACAAAGACAAAATCGACCCTTACACATTCCTGCCCTTTGGAGCTGGGCCACGGAACTGCATTGGGATGAGGTTTGCACAAGTAACCATGAAGGTGGCCATCACCGTCCTCCTCCAGCGCTTCTCCTTCAGAGTCTGCAAAGAAACTCCGGTGAGAAAACAGGGAAGGATGAAGTCCACGCATGGTGGGGAGTAAAGAAGGGAAAACAGAGTACAAAAGGAAGCCCCATTGACTTCTAAGAAACCTAGGGTTTCAGTCACTGCTTCCCAACCTTGGGACCCCAGATGTTCTTCCACTGCAGCTCCCAGAAATTTTTAACCCCTTCCTGTGCTGGCCAGGATCTCCGGGAGTTGTAGTCCAAGAACGTCTTTGGTTTAAATGATCTACATTTCCTTTGTAGATATTCTGGAAGAAGGAGATGGATGCTGGGGGGATCATGGTTCAGTAAGGTGACTTTTCCTAACAAGCTTATCCAGCTGAAATGCCATCCCAGCAAGAGTAGACGTATTGAATCAATGAGATGTATGGATTCCAGCTGGGACTACACCGTGGATCTGGGCCCCTGTGGTAAGCTGGGCCAATTTGCTAATGGTTCCCTCTTTCTGCTCCCACTTTGCTGTAGATTCCCCTCAAGATGAGCGCTAGTGCATTTCTAATGCCGGAGAAGCCCATCGTTCTGAAGTTAGTCCCACGGGAGGCTTCCTAAGAAAGGCCATCATGTGAGTCACGGTCAGCCCTGCAGTGGATGCAGGATACAGACTTTTTTCAGAGTCAGAATCTCTCCAGACAGCTGTGCATCCTGAAGACAACGGCTGGATCTACACAGAGAGCTTGATGGAAAACCTGCTGTTAGCTGCCCCAAATGCTTTTGAAGTTGTCCGTTACTTGGCAAAAATTATCCGATATATGAATGAATTAGACGGTGGTGTTTCTGATGCAAGCAAGGAAGCAAAGAAGAAAGATTCCTGGATGTAAAAGGCTTTCATAACTTTTATGCCCTCGTCTAAGGAGCTCCTGCTTTATTGGTTTAAGGTTGATTGGCGTCCCTCTCCTGAATAAATAAATAAAATATTGTATATTTTTGTTGTAAATATCTCTTGAAAGTTCCTGTATTATAAACGTTGAATATTAGAATAAAGACAAAAAATACACATTAGTGTGGTAAATACTATTTACTAGGCCGATTGGCAGAAAAGGTAAAGGTAAAGGTTCCCCTTGACATTTAGTCCAGTCGTGTTCGACTCTAGGGTGCGGTGCTCATCCCCGTCTTCAAGCTGTAGAGCCAGTGTTTGTCCATAGACAGTTTCCGTGGTCATGTGGCCAGTGCGACTAGACATGGAATGCTGTTACCTTACCACCAAGATGGTACGTATTCATTTGAATTTTCATGTTTTCAAGCTGCTAGGTTGGCAGGAGCTGGGACAAGTGATGGGAGCCCACTCCGTCACGTGGATTCGATCTCACGACGGCTGGTCTTCTGACCTTGCAGCACAGAGGCTTCTGTGGTTTAATCCGCAGCGCCACCAGCTGAGGTCTAAATCCAACCATTTCTCTTGACTGCAGTAGAGCTGTTGAGTATAGGGGTATACCGAAAATGTCACCTTAGAATGGAGAGCTAGCCCGTGTAGCCTTGGGCAAGCTGCACCGTCACTTCGTGGGCCGAGAAGAAGGGAAGGGTCAACCATTTCTGAGTATCCTCTACCTGGAAAACCCTGAAAAGGGTCACCGTACATTGGAGTTGACTTGACAGCAGATGATGATGACAACGACGATTATTCTACAAGGGTTGATCTGTTTCCCCACCCATTTGTTCATAAACTTCGGATATGACTTGTTTGATGAGAAGCCCTCTGCCTCTTGACCCCCAGCTGCAGGGAAGATGAGATGCAGGTGTTCTTGCCTTCTTTCCCTGCTGGTTGCCTTTCCCTGAGGGATCGGGTGAATCTGCTTTCAAACAGAAGGCAGAATTAGGCTAGGATTTGGGCCAGATCCAGCATGGATCTTCCAGTGCCTGAATATACCTTGAGACATGGGCCAGATGCCCCACAGGGGAAAAAGGAGGACCAGAATTTAGTCCCTCCCCCCACCCCAAAAAGATTTTAAAAAGAGAAGAGGGTGAATACAGTTTGCAGACATGGCAGTTCATCTTTCCATCACTTTCCAGGAGATTCACAAAGATTGGAACGGGGCAAATGCAGCAGCAGGTCCTTCATGAAGACGTCTTCGGACCCTGTCAAATAAACACAAGCTAAGAACAAAAACAATAACACACATTCAGCTTGCAAAGGGTGACAATTTACTATTTAGTTAGAAAAGTTGTCATAATAACACAAACTTCTAACATTCCAGTAAGACCTCACTAGAGATTGAAAAACAGGACCCAACTCATCTGAAGAGGCACGTTTTCTTCGTCCTTCTTCCTGAGAGAGGCTGCTTTAAATTGGTCGGATCCTTACAATAGGGGGCTAAGCTTGTTCTCATCCTCCCGCTTTCCAAGATGGGGGATAACTGGCTCAGCAATATTACAAATGAGCAGGATCTTGGAAGTGTTGTAGCTGAAAATCAGCCAATAGAGCAATGTGGCTGCAAAAAATGCAAATGCAATTTTAGGATGCATTAGGAGAAGCATAGCCTTCAAATCCCATGAGGCACGACTTCCTCACACCGTAGCACTGTTTAGGCCTCCCCCAGAGTCCTGTGTTCAGTTCTGGACACCACCCTTTAAGAAGGATGTCCACAAGCTGAAGAGCAGCAAAGATGATCAGGGGAAAGAGGACTCGCACATTATGAAACCTTGCGAGAAGTTGAGGTTAGCCAGTTGTTTCACCAGGTGGTCTCCAGGCTCCCAACTCCTTCGGAATGGCCTTCTTCCCCCCCCCCAAAGAATGCTGAGTTCAAACCCTGCAGTAAACAGTTGTGGTGGTCTCCAGGCTCCCAACTCCTTCGGACTGGCCTTCTTCCCCCCCCCAAAGAATGCTGAGTCCAAACCCTGCAGTAAACAAGCCCCGCCAGAACCTAGCTCCACCCGATAAAGTCCTCGTGTTATAACATGAATGTCGATTATAAAGGAGTTGTGAAATGTTTGCCCTTTGCTCCAACCCTGATCACGTGGAAAGAGTATAAATATCGATCTCCTCCCTGGCTTTTCCATTGAGACGTGGTCCTTGCTCGTAGCTCTGCTGGGACTTCTCATGCTGTATGTATTTCCCTTCTGTTTATCTTTTATGGGTCTGTTTCCTAACTGGGGATAGCCCATCACTAATTGCTCTGAGAGCAATAAGAAAATAGTAGCGGAGGTATGTAGGGGTGGGAATCTCAAGAGCGCCCCAGATGCTGTTGAGGTGCTCATTAAATTCTCATTTGGTGCCCGTGACAGGTGTCATGGTCTTTCACCCTCCCCTCTCTCTCTTTTTAAAACCAAAACCAGGTATGGAATTTGGCCCTATCGTGTGTTCTGGAAACTGGGTGTTCCCGGGCCGACCCCACTACCTTTCGTTGGAACTTTATGGCAATTCAGTAAAGTGAGTATCTGGAAATCAGCTGCTACCTTCTTGGTGGCCTTTCCTGAGGCACCCTGCCTTAATGGGATCTGGCAAGACAATCCCATGTTCTTGAATGCCTTTCTCCTCCCCTCTGCAGGGTTTTGTGAAGTTCGATACCATGTGCTATGAGAAATACGGAAAAGTCTGGGGGTGAGTGAGCTTTTCTTACCAGCTGACATTCTTTGGCGGACCCTGAGCCCATAATCACACCCTAAAGAGATGTTCACAAAAAAGAAGCAGGAAAGCAAATCAAAAGCTGTGCACACTTTTCAACCTTTCCCCCTGCAAACCAACACCACCTTAATCGGCAGTTGAATAACTCAGCCAAGGTCTCTTTGGGTCCAAATGTCCCAGCTGACCAGGAAGAATTCCTATATTTTGGACTTTTTCACTGCTACTCCCCTATCCCTTTTTGAGTCTTTGTGGCGTGCCTCCTTTCAACTTTATTAAGGGTCATAGTTTAGCCTGTTGCTGGAATAGTCCTAACCAGGGTGGAGATGCCCTCTTAAGGCATGCTGAGCTGCGGGTGATGACGGTTGCAAGCCAGAATATATGGAGGCTGGTGTAGGTCTTCCACTAGCAAGCCCATCCTGTATTTGTAAAACAGGCTGAATGATGGTAGTTGTATTACCCGTTGCTAGTTACTTTTTCACACTATAGGTTTTTCCTTGTTATTTGAAGACCACTACATTATTTTTTGTAACTTTTTGAAACTTAGGCTGTGTGACTTCCAAGCACTTCAGCGAACTACAGCCTATCCTTGTTAGGGCATTCAGAATAATCATTGGCACAAGCTCTTGAAATATGCCTTTTGTTCTTAAAACGAGTGCCCTTGTTTCTTTCTTCCATCTGAATGTAGGATCTATGATGGCCGACAGCCTGTGCTCGCCGTGATGGATCCCCAGATTATTAAAACGGTTCTAGTGAAAGAATGCTACACCAACTTTACCAACCGCCGGGTGAGAACTTGCCTTACCTCTCTCTCTCTAAACTTTCCCGAAGGATCTCTCAAGCCCCTTGTAGGGTAGCTTTGCCTGAAATGGGTCACCCAGAGATTCATGGCTCAGGGAGAACTGAACCTGGATCTTGCAAAATAAGGGAAGCTTTAGCATCTTGAGGCTAAGTTGGGGTGTAAGTGGGAGGCAGGCAGATGGATGATGCTGTCTGCAAAAGTCATTTATTCAGTCCATCGTTTTGCTCTGACTTATTGGATAAATAAGCCTCTGTTCGAGGTGCTGGCGGTCCATAGGCTGGGCATTTTGACTACAATTGTAAACCCAACCCTGTCTTATCCTTACAGGTAAGGGCAAGACCTTGCTACCTACTCCTCCTTCCTGAGCAGGGATTTATTCGGTCTCTTGCAGGGATGAGAAAAATCATCAGAGGTAGTTGTGCAAATTAGAGCAAGCTGGTAGGGGAGGGGAGAAAAGATCTCCTTGTCTTCTCCTCACCTGGACACGAGGGACCCAGGTTATCTGGTCATACCAAGGCAAACAAATCTGGTGATTCCACCAAGCCAACCTCTGGTCCCTGATGGTTAACGGTGTTTCCTGTGTTGCCTCTAGCCCTTTCCTGCAGCTGGGATCTTGAGATCATCCGTCTCCTCCGTGAAGGATGAGCACTGGAAGAATCTGCGCACGGCGCTCTCGCCAGCTTTCACCAGTGGGAAGCTAAAGGAAGTAAGAAAAGATCCTCAACTTGACTAATTTTGTAGACGGATCATTCACTGGTCCCATTGGTTTCTTTATGGCTGGAGAACAATCCATGGAGACTCTGCAGTGTGGAGGAAAACTGGTGAGGGTGGCTGAAGCCATGGTGGACCTGGGCCAGAAGGTTCGAATTTCATCCCTGCTGTCAGTTTTTAGCTAATGTACTCCTTCTCCATTTCTATTTCCTGTTTTTAATATGATGCAGAGATTGTGGAAGTAATGGGACTATGAGGCTCTGTCCTATTCAGAGCAAGCCCGTTGGTTTTATTGGACTTTATCCAGGGTAGCAAAACTCCTTTTGATTTCAGTAGACCTGCTTTCATCTCAGTCCAACCCAACATCATGGTATGATCTCAGTGATGATTCAAAAAACTGGTTATTCAGTGCTTGACTGAATTTAAGGAGCCCAGTCCCAATTTTCAGTGAAAGAGTTTGCAATTGCATTCATAGAAAATCGTGCCTTGTTGGAAATGGAGTTTTGTTTGTATGGTTTATGTGAGCATGTCTATAATTTGGAAGCCTTCAGAAGATAATTAGTTGTCTTCGCATTGTTTGCTATTGTTCTTACACGTTGTCAAGTCACCTCCGAATTATGGTGGCCCTATGGATGTGCTTGCTAGATAGCTCATTGATTAGGTATCTGACTGTAGAGCCAGAGGTTGGGAGTTTGATTCCCCCACTGTGCCTCCTGAGAATACAGCCAGCCTAGATGGCCTTGGGCAAGCTGCACAGTCCCAGAGAGCCTTTTGAAGAAGGGAATGGTAAACTACTTTTGAATATTCTCTACCTGGGAATAAAAAAAGATCGAGTAAGTCTCAATTGACTTTAGAGTGGACAATGACAGTGATGCTTGAAGAGTAAATCCTATACTGTTTAACAGGCCAAAGTACACATTTTTCAAAGCATTCTGGGAGTCCGAACGGCAAGGACAAAAGCATTATAACAAAATGAAATTGCAAAATAGAAAATGTCAGAATTAATGATTTGCAATCATTCGTGAATCACCTATTGTGCATTGTCTGATTTATAATTTTTTTATTTCAGATGTTTCCCATTGTAAAACATTACGGGGAGGTTTTGGTGCAACATGTTCAGAAGAAAGCGGAAAGGGATGAGCCCATGGTGATGAAAGAGTAAGTCCTGCAAGTCAAAGAGATATCAAATGCTGATAAAAGGCACTTTTAAACAATGCATCATAAATAACAAGGGCTGCTTTCTAGGTTGACTGGCCAGAAACCCATGCAATGCAGACCCACAAAATGCTGTGCCAGCATCAACCCGTAAAGGGTGGAATGAATCGGAAGGAGACATGTTCTGACTCAGGATAAGGTCATTGCTGCTGCCCCCTGTGTGTCAGATGGCCCATGGACAAATCCCAGCATCTCCAGATAGGGTTGGGAATGGTCCCTCATGGAGATCTCACATACCGGGAAGCAGACAAGTGGGTGGGGAGTCCCCTATTGCTATCTCCAATCACTAATGGCAGAGAATGGAGGAAAGTCCTCCTCTCGGTCCATCTGTCTCACAAAGAACAGACCTTGGGGAGATGTTGTGGGGCACACTTCAGCATTCCTCAGGCCAGATCAAGTCTCCAGGCCTTAGGTTTTCCTTCAGCTGTGCAGATGATATTGTGAGTGATGGATCAAGGATGCTTCCTTGTCAAAGAGACCAGGTTGCTACAAATCTGCACAGTTATATAGAAGAAGGGTGTTTTGTAGTTTTCTGAATTTACCTCTACTAGAAATAGCCTCTTCTGCCCAGCTACAGAAAGTGTGCCATTTCATTTTCAGTTGGCTACACCTGATGAACCATTTCTCTCATCTTGTAAAAGGCACCTTCTTTGTCTACCTGGGCAACCTAGCAGGCCAACAAGCCATGAAGCGTTCTTGATTTAGTCCTTACCTTTTGTTAATCCTTCAAGTGAATCCTATATTCCCAACCCCAAAATGCTTCAATCTTTCTCTCTGTCCTTCAGCATCTTCGGGCCCTACAGCATAGATGTGGTCACCAGCACTTCTTTCGGGGTGGAAGTCAACTCCATGGAAAACTCGAATGACTATTTTATCAAGGAGATGAAGGAATTCACCAAGCCTTTTCAGTCTCTCAGTGTAAAGTTCGCTCTGATGTGTAAGGTTGCTTTTGATTTTTGGGAAATCTGGCTTATGGTTCTAGGCCAGTTCCTACGGAGAGGGCTCTTAGTTGGGTGGAGTGAGATGGTATCTGGCAACTTCCTTGGTTTGGGATGATAGTGCCCTTCTTCTCTGTCCACATGCTTCTCATTTAGCATGGCCAACCTGGTTAAATGGATTCATGAGTCCCTGCAAATATTACATGGATGTGTAAGGTTGCTTCTGGTTCTCAGGAAATCCTGGTTGTAGGCCAGTTCCTATGGAGAGGACTCTTAACTGGCTGGAGTGAAATAATAGCTGTCACCCTCCCCAGTTTGGGATGAGAGGATTCCCCCTTCCATTTCCACAAACCTTTCATGCCTGTTCATACATGAAGACTGCATGGGGGCCCACGATAATTAATGGCCTGGAGAAGCTCAATAGATGAACACACTGAGTCGGACAAAATGACCATTAATGATCGTAAACCTGGTTAAATTTAATTCATGGGTCCCTACAAATACAGAAGCAAAGGTTAGCTCCAGGAATATTACTTTGTCTTCATCAATTTTTTTCTCTCCTTTACAGTGACATTCCCTTTCCTTGTCCCTGTCTTTAATGCCTTGAATATACAGCTGTTTCCCAAAGATTCGGTGGATTTCTTCATAAAATCCTTTGAGAAAATCAAGGCAGCTCGCTTGAAAGAAGGCCAAGCGGTAAGCGGTAGGGCTGTGTTGGGGGTTTGAGTTGAGGGTCTTTGGATTGAAGGAGGCCCACGTTCTTCATTTCCTCAGGATTTCAGCCTTTCCAGCTTTTCCAGCTTGTTGGGTCCAGAACTTGGGAACCACAGCTCTCAGAATAAAAGGGCCACTGGAGTGAGTGAGATTCTGGGAAAAACAACAGACAGGGCCACTGGAGTGAGTGAGATTCTGGGAACCCACTTCCAAGCCATGATTTCTTTCCTTGCATTCATCGGAATGACAACCTTATCTAAATTTTTTGAATTTTTTTTTTGAAAAAGTCATTGAGTATGAAAAACAAAGGCATTATAAGAATGTTCTCTGAATCATACACTTTTCTGCTTAACTGCAGGATTAACTTTTCCACCAGCGTCATTATCCTGAGTGGAATTACTGTACTGAAACTGTTATTTGTTTCTGAATGTCTGGATTGGGTGGAAAAAAAATTGGGGAATTGCCAAGCCTGGAATCTGCATGGAGCATGTCGTTGGTTCATTACTCCAGTAAAAAAACAACAAAAACAGGGGGACTCCTTCCATATCTCTCATCGTTAATTTAATTGCAACCTCCCTGTTAGTTTCTCTCTCCTCCTGCTCATCCATTCATTTGATTTCCAGAGCCGAGTCGACTTCCTGCAGCTGATGATGAACTCCCAAGTTTCCAAGGGCAGCCCCCAGAGCAATGGGGTCAACCATGGACACAAAGGTGAAGCTATGCCTTGTTGACATTGGGAGAGAAAACCAGGGGGGTCCCATTGGGTGTGCTGGAGTCCCGTAGACGAGATGGCTCTTCCTTATCTGGGCAGACAGTGTGGCTGCCCTTAATCTCACAATTTATGCCAAAAGGGAAAAAGAACAAAGAGGAGGAGGAGGAGAATGGAGAATGGAGGGTGGTGGTCAATTGGCATTTGTCAGGAGACCAAGAACTTTCAAAAGATGAAGACCCATCATTCTGTCCCAATAGCCAAGAAAGGGAAGGGGAAGGAATTAGAGACGTTTCTTGCTTTGCTCAGTTTGCTGAGATTTAGACCTGGAGAGAGAGAAGATTGAGCAGAGGACCTACACATGATTTTCCTTGCTCTGGCAAGGTGGTTCCCAACCTTGGGTCCCCAGATGTTCTTCTACTACAACTCCCAGAAATCCTGGCCAGCACAGCTAGTGGTGAAGGCTTCTGGGAGTTTTAGTTGAAGAACATCTGAGGATTCATGTTTGGGAAGCACTGCTGTAGTGCATCATTCTTTGACCATTTATCAGCAATGTGGAGTTCTTCCCTTTCTAAAAGTTTAATATGCCTCTTTGAAGACTTACTAGCGTTTGGCAAGAAGAATTTCCAGCCAAAATGTGCCTCTAATTTTTGACCCCCTTCTTTAGCTCTCAGCCCCACCCATCATGGTCCTATGACCCCTGAGAAGCTTTCCTAAAGCTCTATGCATCTGTCAGGTGAATGCAACTCCTATTTATCCTTGCCATGGATAATTGCCAAAATTACTAGAGTCCTTGGACTAAGGGAGACTGCTTGTCAAACAGCCTGCACAGCCCTTTCTATGGGCAGAAAGTATAGAAAGGACGGTGGGAGGTTCCCGTTGTTGTGAACTCTTGAACCCAGCTGATAGAACAATGAATATTGCCAAAACCAACATTGCATAAGACGTGATTTTCTTTGCTGTGTGTCTTGCAAACACAAGCTGAAAACAGCACATACAAACTCCATTGGAGAAGCTCTTTTTTTTTCCTGCACAGAGTCCTGGAAGCAAAACAATAACCATATTGGTATTGGTTTAAAATGTTTTGTGTTCTTTTTCTTCATCTTATAAAGCTTGCTTCAGCCATAACTGTGGCTCTGTTGGAAAGAAAAATCTAGGGAATTGGGCATGTTTCTCTACAGTCAAACAGCTAGGGAGTGATATCCTAATGGAATAGAATCCAGATCTCAGGCCAAAGCAAAAAGTATCCTTGCATTCTACATATAGTGCAAAGTAAGATGATGCTTCTGCCATACACATTGTACCTAACACTATAACAATATCCTAAGAGAAGAGACTCCTAATATACAAAAATCTATATATGGTGCAAAGTCAGATTATGTTTCTTGTGTACATGTTGTACAGTTTTGGGTTTTATCCTTCTCCCCTTTGTTTGTAGGCTTGACCGATGAGGAAATCCTTGCCCAATCCATCATGTTTGTCTTCGCTGGCTACGAACCCACCAGTAACGCCCTCAATTTCTTGGCCTACGCTTTAGCCACTCACCCGGATGTTCAACAGAAAGTTCAAGATGAGATAGACTCTGTTCTACCTAACAAGGTAAGAGAGCGTTGGATGGACAGGGAAGATGGTTGGCGTGCTGTGATCTTCACCTAAATGAGGGGGAAAGACTCCTTTTTGGCCAACAAGATCCATCCTTTCTGGAAACGCCAAAAGTTTGAAACTAACTAAGGCCGTGCATCCCACCCTTCAGTCCCCAGATGTTCTTGGACTACAGTTTCCAGAAATCCTGCCCAGCACAGCTAGTGGTGAAGGTTTATGGGGGGGGTTTAGTCCAAAAACGTCTGAAAACTCAAGGTTGTAAAATACTGAACTAGAAAGAAGAGATATGAGATTAACAAGGCTATGATGCTCCTTCTTTCTTTGGAATACATAAACATCCATATAGAACAAACACCCATTCGTTCATCCATCTATATGTCCAGTTTGTAAGTTTTCCAATGTTATCTTTTTAGATTGCAACCTCCATAATGGTGGTAGGGATTCTGGGAGTCTTTGTGCAAAAACTGTAGCATTTTAGTCCATAATAAATTGCCTTATTTTCCTCCCTCCCTTCCTTTATCTTCTTTTCTCTTTTCCTCTTCAGTTTCGCTCACATGCTGAGACAGGCGAGCATGGCACACTTCTTTGGAGTGACCATGAAATGTTTCATTCCTAAAGCATCAAAACGTCAGCACCAATTTTAACCTTCTTGGTTTTCTTAGTTAAACACCGGGAATGTTACAGGCTGAGTAATGTTTTCAAATGTTATTGGAGGATGTTAGTTTAACGCTGCTTGTCCTTTTTGGTTTTTTTCCCCTCTTTAGATATTTTAATTGATCCTTTCTTTAAAGCTGTCATACAAAGCATAACTCATTCAATTACTTGTTATTTCCACTTAAGTGTCAATGCTTTATCATGAACTACTAGTGAGCTGAGCAGCTTAGGGCCCTGGCTGTGGAGACCGAAGTTGGGAATTAAATTTATTATTGTGCCTCCTTGAGAAGGACTGGACTCAATATTCCATAAGATCCCTTCAGCTCTGCAGTTCAAAGACTGTTATTATCGTTAATTGGAATGGTTCCAAACTACACAAACAAAACTCTTTTGAACGTTATATGTATGTTTGGTAAAAGTTGCACCAGGTTGCTCATTCACACAAGGTGACATGAGCAAAAGAAATGCAGAATGAGATACTCCAGTTATGTATGATCATCTTTCCCCTTTTCTTTACCTCTAGGCCCCCCTGACATATGATGCTATCATGCAGTTGGAGTATCTTGACATGGTGATGAGTGAGTCACAAAGACTTTACCCCTTAGGAGGACGGATTGAAAGGGTCAGCAAGAAAGATGTTGAGATCAATGGGGTGACCATTCCAAAAGGCGCAGTGGTGATGACCTCGCCCTATCTTCTCCAACGGGATCCAGAATTCTGGCCAGAACCGGAAGAGTTCAGACCAGAAAGGTGCGTGTGTGTTTCTTTGGTGCTCAACGATAGGGAATGCATTCATAACTAGATGAAAAAAGAAGGCTGATCTACCCAACAGATGCCCATAATGACACAGCTTCTTACTTTGACAAAGCAGGGCACCTGAATTGGAAAGAGAATATAGGGATGATGCACTGAGCCACATGGTGGTTTGGTCACATATACCAGTCATCACTTAGGTTCTTATAGGCAACAGTTGGGAAAATGAATGAGGAAAACCTCAAGGACCCATTAGGGTGGAAGGAAAAGTAATAACTCCATAGATATGCTCCCACCTGTTGAGCAAAGGAGTTGGATGATTGGCCCTCTCGAAAGTGGGCTTTGATGGTGGACTGACCATGTTTTTGTGGGCACTGACTGGCAGCAGCAGTTCTACAAAATCTTGCAGGGAGTGTGTAGGGATCTGGGAATATAGTGCCTTTTCCATACAAAGAAGGAATGGAAAACTTTCATACCTACAGCCTTATCACTGAGTTACAGAGCCAGTAACTGACCCGGTATCATTTTTTACCTTTGAAAGATCACACACTGAGAGACAGCAATGCTTCTGTTGTCTACCTGCTTCCATTTACCTGTCCACCAACTCCTGTTTTTTTCCCCATGTCTTTGCCAGGTTCAGCAAAGAGAACAAAGACAAAATCGACCCTTACACATTCCTGCCCTTTGGAGCTGGGCCACGGAACTGCATTGGGATGAGGTTTGCACAAGTAACCATGAAGGTGGCCATCACAGTCCTCCTCCAGCGCTTCTCCTTCAGAGTCTGCAAAGAAACTCCGGTGAGAAAACAGGGAAGGATGAAGTCCACGCATGGTGGGGAGTAAAGAAGGGAAAAGAGAGTAGAGAAGGAAGCCCCATTGACTTCTAAGAAACCTTGGGTTTCAGTCACTGCTTCCCAACTTTGGGACCCCAGATGTTCTTCCACTGCAGCTCCCAGAAATCATCACCCCCTACCTGTGCTGGCCAGGATCTCCGGGAGTTGTAGTCCAAGAACGTCTGAGGATGCAAGGTTGGGAACCACTGGTTTAAATGATCCACATTCCTTTTGTAGAAATTCTGGAAGAAGGAGATGATCCCGGGGGCCATGGTTCAGTAAAGTAATTTTTCTTAAAAAACTTGTCCAGCTGGAATGCCATCCCAGAAAGAGCAGATCCATAGAATCAATGAGATCTATGGATTCCAGCTGGGACTACACAGTGGATCCAAATGGCTAATGGTTCCTTCTTTCTGCTCCCACTTTGCTGTAGATTCCTCTCAAGATGAAGAATAGTCCATTTTTAACACCGGAGAAGCCCATCGTTTTGAAGTTAGTCCCACGAGATGCTTCCTAAGAAAGGCCACCATGTGTCTCAAGCTATGTGACCCCTTGCCAGCTCAGCAGCAGATGTGGGATACAGACTTTGTTCATAGTCAGAATCTCACCCAGACAGCTGTGCATTCTGAAGACAATGGCTAGATCTACCCAGAGAGCTGGACTCTCCGATCCAATTCTTGGATTCTAAATCCAATCGATACACCATGCATTAATAAAATAAATACAAAAACACAAATTGGTATGGTAAACACTCTTAACTAGGCTAATTAGCAGAAAGCTAAAGTCTGAATCCAACTGTTTGTCTTGATTGGAGTACGCCCATTGAGTCTATAGATCTTCCATAGTGTTGACTTCAGCAGTTGAGCCCGGGTGGGGCAGTACTTGGGCTGTGTCTACCAATTGGGTACAAGCCAAAGCATGCAACCTTACCTATATTTTTGCAGCTGTGACAACCTCAAGATCAGGCATACTCAAACTTGGGGAACCCAGATGTTATTGGGCTGCAACAATGGCTGCTCTACATCAGAGGTTCGCAACCTTTGGTCCCCAGATGTTTTTGGACTGCAATTCTCAGAAGCCTCCACCACTAGCTGTGATGGCTGGAGTGTCTGGGTATTGTAGTCCAAGATCATCTGAGGACCCAAGGTTGGGAACCACTGCTCTAGATGTTTCTTCTCCAACATCTTTTCCCTCTAGTGTAGCATAAGTCAATCCAATATTTATCTCAATGTCATACACAAAGCCTAATCGCTCAAACGATGGCCCTCAATGACCAAAGGGGAAGACTGGCACGACTGAAAGGAAAACATTCCCCACCAACGCCTGCTCCAGCTGTAACCGAGTCAGGTTAGACACTATCTCAATTAAAGAGAGCAATCTAGCTCCAGGATAAAATTACTAGCAGGTTAATTAATAGCTTCAAAAGAGAAAGCAAGCAATCAATGGATTATCAAGGCCAAAATGTTCAGAATGTGCTGTTTCACTCAGAACAAGCAGTTGTTAGTCCGTCAATGAAAATGCATTATAAATTGCTCTTGTGCAGGAAGGTGAAGTAGCAGAAAGTGAGAAGGCCTTAGCATAAATGCACCTCATTCTTTCAAAGCATGAGGAGGACACAAATGAAATAATTTTCCACAGAGACGGAGGCTATAAACTTGATTTAAGTACTACATTGATTATCTGGAGAAAAAACCAGATCTGGTGTGGTTTAGATGATGATGAAGTGCAGATTCTATCTTCAAAACAACTAACAGCCTGCTGAGCTACTGCCATGCGCTAATTCTGTGCCAATAACACTTTGAAATGGAAACACACTGTAGGATCTGGGTGATGGAACTGTCAGGGAACTCAGGGGAATGACTAGGACACAGGAGACCTGGATTCCAGACCCTGCTTGGTCTCACATTAGAGAAATCCCTCCCCTTCTTTTTCACATCTTCTTCTTCCTGTATAGTCACACATTGTGGACACATGGTATATATCCTGTGATAGTGGTTCATACATTTTAAACCATTCTACTTTTTGGGGGTGAATTGGGTGTGGTACGTTTGTCTGAGTGGTTCATACATTTTAAACCATCTTGCTTTTTGGGGGGTGAATTGGGTGTGGTACGTTTGTCTACCCTCCTTGAGCAGGACATATCCTCTTCCTTTTCTTGTGCCTTTCTCTGCCCCTTGCCCTTTAAAAAAATTGTGTAGGTAGATTGCTTTGTCAGCAAAATGGCCACGTACTGATCTGGGCCATTTCTTCCTATTCCCATGCTTTTTTACCCTCTATGGAGGAGAACCCACAGCACACCGCAGTGGCAGTCAAATGCAGAAGGAGGACTTGACAGAAGTATATCAACGTGTTGACATTCCCGTTTGAAAATGAATTAAGGGAGCTGAACGACTGTGGCTGATGGAGGCGGGACAGCACACCAGATGTATAAGAAATGAATCGGTTTTGGACTACCCTCTCAATGGGATGTCAGTTGTACTATGCAATGAAAATGTGGAGCAAATATAGTAGTAGCCTCACAGAGAGATGGATTTGATATGGAAGTAGCACAGAGGGGGAATAAAAGAATCAATAATGGCCTTGTGTCATCGGAAACAAAATGTTTCTGAATCACACATGAATTTCAACCCTGTTTTGAGTTGAAACAGGGTTGAAATTCATGAGTGATTCAGAAACATTTTGCTGGTGTGACCACAGCCTCAGTCTCTTGGCCTGAACTTTGTTGTGATGTAGTTATGGGGGATAAAGAGGGATTAGGAATGCTCTCTTTGTCCCTTTGGAGAAAAGGTGAAACGGAAGTGCAACCAATCAGTCAATAGACAAGGTTGCCTATAGAGACATTAAGTGCCAGAAGGCAGCTGTTGACCATTGTGATCAATGCGAGAGAGGGCACAGTAGCTGAAAGTGGGTAGAAACGCACAGAAGGACATATTCACAGCTGAGCCAAATTTGCACATAAACCCAGACAGATGAGCAGGCTGGCTGCCGTCTTCTCATTTCCTCCGCCTCATCTTGTTCATCGACTTCTCAACCCATCCAAAGACTAGAAAAGCACACCTTGCCCTCAAATGAGCAATGTTTCTACTTGCTGTTGTTTACTCCTGTACCTGCAATCAGCGAACATTCATTCTCTTATCTTCGTTTGTCAATCATTCCTCTCTCGCACGTCACAGAACAAGGCATGGTGTACTCAGCAGCCAAGGACCACCAGGTATGACCTGATCCTCTGTCCTAGGTAAGGAGGCAGGTAGTGGGAGTAGGCTGCTCAGGAGGTGGAGAGGCACCCCTGTAACCCTGTAGACCTAGCGCCCCTGCTAGGGACAGTACAGACTCTATACTAGGGATGCTAAAGGGTCAGGCAATTGATTCCATTTTTAGGATTCAGCCATCCCAGCATCTCAGCCACCTAGAGCTTTCGCACACCTTCTGCACCGGGTGACACAATAGTTTCAACACACTGTGTAGACAATGCAACAGCTACTTTGTATTGTGTGGCATGCTGCTGTTTTTGGACATTTTTATCTAGAATTTCACCAAGAAGCCAGCCCACGTGAAGTCACCCTCTAGCTACGGCTCTGACTGGACTTTGCATATGGTTCTGGAGATGCCGATTTTTTTTATTGCATCCTCCAATCACCTCCTTCCTCTCTTAACTGAACTTTGGCCACCTCTGTCTTTCCACAAACATGTTGACAAAAACCTGTTCCAGGCACCGAGCAGGAATACTTCACTTTCAATGGACTCTGTCCTTATCTTAACTTTTGCACATCAACGGGAGTTAAAGGGCAGGGAGAAAGTGGAGATATTACATACCTGTGTTGACGTTGCATGCAACAAGGACGCTGGTCGATAATCTTCTCCCGAACTCTGATGAGCATCCTGACTCCACTTTTCAAGCTGTCCTCAGTTACAAAATATTTAAATGTATACAAATTTGCTTGCCAGATAGAATAGAGCTAGCTGGATAGCTGTGTGGTTTAAGAGAGGTTGGGAATTCAGTTCCTCACTCTGCCTCCTAGGAGAAGAGCCAACCTGGGTGGCCTTGAGCAAGCTGCACAACCCCAGGGAATCCCCAGAAGAAGGGAATAGCAAACCACTTCTGAGCATTCTCTACTTGGATAACCATGAAAAGGGTCATCAACAGTCAGAATGGATTTGATGGCAGATGATAACAATGATGCAAAGGGGGGGGCATCTATTTGACTGTGACATATTTAGAGAACACGAGATGGAGGTGTTCTTGCATTCTTTTCCTGCTGATTGCCTTCCCAGAGGTATCTGGTTAAACTCTTTTCAAAGGCAAGGCAGGATTAGGGTAGAAATTGGGCCCGATCCAGCACAGTTCTTCCAGTGTCTACATATACCTGAGACATGGGCAGGATGCCACCCAGGGAAAGAGGAGGAACAGAATGTACATAGTTCTTCCCCCCCCACAAAAAAAGAGATAACGTTTCTGCTTAAAAACAGAGAGGGGAGTGTTTATCTCTCTATCACTTACCAGTAGATTTGCATTTAGATTTTGGCACCCATTATAGCTTAGAAGACTAGGAAAGCCCCTGATGGAAAAGACTCTGATGTTGGGAAAGTGTGAAGGCAAGAGGAGAAGGGGGTGTCAGAGGACAAGATGATTGGAGAGTGTCATTGAAGCGACCAACATGAATTTGGCCCAGCTCCGGGAGGCGGTGGAAGACAGGAGGGCCTGGCATGCTCTGGTCCATGGGGTCACGAAGAGTTGGACATGACTTAACGACTAAACAACAACAAGTGCAGCCCCAGCTAGAGGATTTTGTCTGTCGTAGTCCACAAAAATAGCTTTTCCTAGACTCTGCTTTGCACTGCCCTAGTTTTTGAAGCTGGCTTTCTCGTTGCTCGTTGTCTTGGGCTCTTGCATCGGTCTTCTGAATAGGAAATATCGAGCCAAACTGGACTCGCGCCCAAAAGGAAGACACAGGCTTGAGTTTGCAAGAGCTGGGCAAGGCAGCTGAGGACAGAACATTGTGGAGACGGCTCATCCGTAGGGTCTCCGTGAGTCTGAGGTGACTTCATGGCACATAAGAATAACAAAACCAATCTGAGGGGGTGGCAACTAGGCCATGTTTCTCTCCCTCCGCCTGTGAGGAAGAAGGCAGGCTTGCCTCAGAGGAAATCTCTCAACAACAAGAGTTTGGCTCTGGAAGATCATTAATTTTCCATCTTCAGGCCAAAGGATTGCTAGCTAATGATGAGGGGAAATTAATTCATGGATCAGTTACCAGTTCTTCACCTCTTTACGTCACGCACAGCAGAATATCCTGTCTGATGTTCTAAACCCACCGCAAAAAATGTCCCGGTGGAAATGCCATGGAATGAACTAGTATGAACTCTTTTTTTCACCTCTTCTGACGGTGCCTCATCTTGATCGTGAGTGCTTTGCAACTCTTTTAATTAAAATATATTCCTTGCTTTCCCCTCCATGCTGCTCTGGGCAGGATATTGTTATGCTGGGCCGCTAAGTTGCTTCTGACTTATAGCAACCCTAAGAGGATTTCCGAGGTGTGTGGAAGGGTTGACCATTGACACTGCAGTGACTTTACATGACCTAGGTGGGATTTGAACCCATGTCTCCTGAGTCTTAATCCAACACTGTATTCACAGCACCACATTCGAAGAAGTAAACAAGCAAAACGGTTATTTCTTCTGCCCCTCTATTGGAATGCCAGGTAACCTCAAATCTTACAAGGATGGTCATGTGCTTCT